ATTTTCAAGGAAAAAACCTACATGTCCGCCTGGCATACGAAAGTTGCTCACTGTGCCCCACCACCACCACTTATTTAATTGATTAATCAAAAAAGAAGGAACTTTGAATAGTATCTTTGCATCAAAATATGACCAGTTTCCATAGTTTTCAGTTGAAAATTTTGTAAGACTACAGTCAACAGTTTTTCAGTGCTCTTAAAACGTTAAAAACTTCTTCTCAAATCGTCAGACCTGTTTTAAATAGAAATTATGAAAGCTAATGCAACTTGATAGAAGGCCTGTTTTGAAGGTTTTTACGCTTAGATATACTAGAAAACTAAGGGTATCTAACGTGGCCGGCATGCGTGATGGTGTTCATGTTAAATGCGAAGAATACTCGTACCCATACCTATCCACTCGCAATTTCTTGCCACATGAAGAAAATTCTGATAATAAATCATTTCAAAAGAAAAATCAGAGAAAGAAATGTTTGAGAGAATAATAGTCGTAAATTCATCGGTATGGTTCATGAATAGAAAGTATTTTGTGAAGTTAGCTATTCAGATAGAAAACACTAGCTGCTAACACTATATGTTTTTAATTTAACCAATCGAAATAATCCTACACTGAAAACAAAACAAAAATTTTATAAAACTAAAAAAAGGTTTTGATGTTTACAACGAATTTAAAATCCCTTTTTGGTTTCGTTCACAGAGTTTCGAATAGAACTAATTTTTCTTATCTTCAAGTAAAATTCCGCACTATATTCGACGGAATACAATTTCATTCGGATGTATGAGGTTTCGTATCACCCTTTACGGACATTTGAGAGCATCACTGGGTGTTCAAAATCAAAATCTTTTTTTGACGATTTTTCGCAGGAGTTCGTAAAAGTAACTTTTTTTAGAGATTTATAACGGGGGAGTTTGGAAATAAATTTTATTTTTGAAGGTTATTATGGATGTTCGAAAACGCTGTTTTACAGAAGCTCGTAACAGAAAACGTAAAAAATATGTCTGACGGACCGATTCAAAGCTTGTAATAAAATGTTCTTTGCTGTATCTGATATAGTTCTGGAGATCGTAACGATCAACATTGAATGACGCCTATAGTTTAAGTTAAGAATGGCTGAAAATTCGTGAATGAATATAATAGGAGATCGTTACGAACATAATGACTTTTCTTTCAATTTTGCTTATCGACTATGATAATCTGAAGACCAGTATATTACTTAAAATGTTCGTGACAGTACGTAGACTTTAACTTATTCCCGAACATCCTGTCGTTTTTAATCCCATCATCATGTAATTTCGTTTACAACCTTCCTGTATTGATCGGTACGGATTACGGATGCGCGGTTTCAGTGCAAATACTGTAAAACTGTCGCTGTCAGCGCTGACAGTGGTACACTGTAGCACTGACTCCACTGACAGTGAATACACCACAGCATTGTGGGCACTGAAGCACCGACTTTTACTGATATCCGTAAGCTTAGGAAGTCAGTATAAAGCGGTTTAAGTCGGCGCAACAGTGTCCCCAGTGCTGCGGTGCACCCACCGTCAGTGAAGTCAGTGCTTCAGTGACCAACTTACGGTGCTACCAGTATTCAGTAAAGTGTGGGTGTATTTGCGTGTAAATGAAGACAGCGTGCGCAATTCGCACCCTCAAATTGACCTGTTAGAGTAAGGGGAGTATGTGCTTAAGTTATTTTATGAACATTTCTCTATTGCTACCGAGAATTCATTCAGTTTTTTCAGAACCGTTAGCTTCTTGTCGGAAGCCAAGGGCTCCAAACGTTTTTCAATTTTATAAAGTATAGTAAGGAACATAAATCGGTTTCCCAAGTCTACATTTGATTAACTCGAGAGTTCTTACAATTTTAAAAAATCTTTGAAATACTGTAGAAAAGTATCTTAAGCAAAATCAAACACTTTTTGACGAAATAAATCTCATATACTATGCTTGAGTATAATAAAACTGTTGGTACAGTTACTACAACTCATGTACCTATCTACACTTGAGATTTTGATTTGATATATTTCCGAGACCTTCAGTCGTTCACACTTTTATAATAGTCCTGACATGCTTTTACAATCTTGACTACGTTTTCCCTTCAAATATATTCGATAAAAACTATGATTAAATGTAGAATTAAGGACCAAATGAAGACCTACCTAGCTAACCAAGGGGGAACAAACTGATTTCCCTGCAAGAAATCAAATAGAAATCACAAGAAATCACCGGAAATCATGAGAAATCAAAGAAATCAAGAGAAATCGAAGAAATCAACAGAAATCATTGGAAATCAATGCAAATCATTGGAAATCATTGGAAATCAATGGAAATCAAAAGAGATTACTAGGCATCAATAACAACCATCACTATTGTATAGAGTTAATTTTTACAGTTATTGGATATATAATAAAAATAACCATTATAGACTAATTCTATTTCTATGAACATTACACCAAAAGAATAGTGACAAGATGTTAAATTTGTCAAATTTTTTGATTCGAAGTACGCTTAAAATACTTCCCTTGATATTTAGTGTTGTATCGGATAACTTGAAAAATAGCGAGCATAATGTACTATTATACATAAATAAAACGTGACCATACATCAGTTAATAACTGTTCAATCTAGATGCCTTGGTATCCAGTCATTTTTCGTATTGTTTTGTATGCGTTCTCTTTCTTATATAGTTGGTCAACGGATAGACACTTTTTCGTCCTGTTCATTTTCATCTTCGTCATATTCAACGAACATTCTCTTGTATATATCAGATTCGTTATACATTTATCTTGGTTTATCAAATAATTTTCAATATGTCCATCGGAAAATCTTCTGTGCCACATAATGTATTAGAACTGGAAGATAATGATTTCTTTGAATTTGTGAAATTTTTCTCCGGTGCAAAACTGGCAAGTCTTATTGAATTTCAAGATATTAATACTGCACAATGTCTACTTGCTTGCGATGATCCATTTTACATTCTTTCATTAGACTCAGATGATTTACTCGATTTGCAAAAGAAGACATGCGTAAAGTTAAACAGTAATGGTTTTGTTGTATTATCTGGTTTAACATGTAAAATGAAGTTTTTGAAAGGTGCATTGTTAAGAAAACGTAATGAATTGAAAAAAAAAGCAAAAATTCGTACAAATGTTAATACAACAATTGATACATCATTAAGTAATCAAGTTATGAACAATGTTACTAATTTAACACAA